AGTTGCTGGTCGAACATTATTGCAGACATGAAATAAAATATATTGAAATATATAAAAAGTGATATCAAAAATAGGAATAATCACTCTACAAAGAGCAATGTAAAACTTACAGGTGGTACATGGGATGAGACCTATTTATAACCAAATGTCTGAAAATAACTATGAAAAACAACGTGATTTAGGTTTTCCTAAAAGATAGAATGAAAAAAAAAAAACAAGTGAGGGGAACTTGTGAGGGAAAGAGAGGATGGACAAAACGTTGACATCATAATGTTAAAAAAATAATAATAAATGATTAAGTGTAAATGGATAAAAATTAGTGATGTAGTCAAAAAAAAACGGAAGATATAACATGAAATATTTGCGTAAGGTAGTAAAAGGGTTATTTAATAATAACTTGAGCATGTGCATTGGCATTTCCTAAAAACCTCTTAAGGTATTACATCATTATGTAGTCTTAAAAAAAACGAATACGTAGGCAATAGGTAGCAAATACGTTCATATGAAAACATCTCTAGGTCTTTGTAAGAAAAAAAATAATAATAAATAAGTCGATTTCCTAGTCGTTTCCTCTTAACACAATTGCGAACTACAACAGAACATATATTTATTTTTTGGAAAGTCTTCAAAGAAAAATAAGCTTATCAAACATACTGTATATATGTATAAATGTAAATACATGTAATTTCCTATACGCTATAATATTACAAATGTAAATAAATGATATATTAACAGCTTATATGCTAATAATTAAGGCAAGCGTTTTATTAAATCGTCAAATGTCAATAAAACACTATAATAGACACATTTTAGAACTTTCCTCTGCTTAATGTTACCTATTCTCTATGTAAGTCTTCATAACACCATCTAAATAATTCACCTTAATCAACTTTCAAGCTACCACACCCGTGCATCTGCCATTCATGGTTCATCTTCATTCTCTCAGGTCGCACCATAAAAACAGCCATTCTTTCGAAGATTTCGAACTCTATTACTAGCACCGTTAAAACCATTTCTCTAAATCGGACTATAACCTCATTTTCCAATCCTGAAACTTTCAATCAAAAATGAGTTCAGTAAACACACAGCACAAACACAGGTAGCGAGGGCCGTGTTCTTGGGCCCGGCGGTCCGGATATTCCGGTCACCTGGCCCGAGATATGGCTTTCTGGAAACATTTTTTCTAAATTCGTTATAAATTTTAAATTTAAAACTCTAATTTCCCACAGAAAATACTCTTTATTCGAAGACATTAACTCAATGATTTTCTTCAATCCCGATTATGATTATTAAACTAATACTGAAAATTGCAAATGTGCAAATGAATATGAGTATCCATGATTCTGTATAAATATATACATATATTTAGTTGCTTATTTAGCTTATTGCCATCTTTTTACAGTTTACAGTTTTACAAATACAAGCTCAAGAAACAACAAAGCAAGAAAGAAGAATTAACGATACCAGAAACAAGATGACAGACAGAAGAAATTTAGATACCACGAAGAATAGAAAAACAACATCGAAGAAAATACACTTAAATGATAATAAAAGACCCCGCGATTTTTCCAGACTCGTTCAGTTGCATGGTTTCGCTTCCTCCCCATTCTCAAATTGGCATTTATATATAAAAAGCGCTTTTGCTATCTTTATATTTTTCTTCTAATTGGCTTAAACCTGTTATACCTCGAGTGGCACAGGTTGGAGAGACCTTTATTTTTCAGTTTTGTTTATACTCTCCATTTAGAATTCTGTCCCTATCTACTGGGACGACGACGACGAGGAAACACCGAGATCTCCAAGCAGTAAGCTGTATTGTTTCAATCGTTTTTTTCCCTTATTTCTAGATTTCTGGTTAAATTATGTTAGCGGTTAGATTTCTAAGATCCGTGCGATCATTTTGATATATTGAGTCTTAATTTAGCTATTCTAGAACTCGAGAAATTAACCTTCCAAATCTGTGTCCACCATTCCAGCCATGGCAATTCGATTCGAACAGTAGAAGTAGAACCCTTCAAAAGACACCGTATATGTTGTTCTTCTCAATTGAAAATCTTCGTTAATAATCTATTATCCTTGGTAATTTAACTCCGGCATCATGACAAGTCAAGAACAAGGTAACTGTGGACAGGAGGGGGGCGGAGGTGAACCCGATAACGACCACCACAACACAATTGAAAAATTACATTTGGGAGTAATTCAATTGGTCAACGACGAGAAATCCAAAATCAACAAAGACGTAGGACGCCAAATTCTTTTGATCTTTGCGCAAATGATGACTCTTGTCGGTAAACAAAACACGGAGAATGTCATTCTGAAAACCAGACTGGAGGAAAGAGGAAGAAGTCACTCTTATGCTGATGTGCTACGCACTCACTCGGACATGCCGCTGGATCCTGGCGCGATGCAGATCTCTGCAACGCGACAGGAAACAGCAAATATCATTCAACCACGAACATCTCCCTCACGACCAAAGAATGCATTACTGATCTATCTTCGTAATTCGACTACAACGGCCTCCAAAGATATAAAAGTCCTCTTAAAGAAACATTTTGACCCTTAAAGTTACTCCTGACAGCCTTAGGGCTGTCAGGAGTAACTTTAAGGGAGATTCGGGATGGCTTGGCGGCTCAGTCTGACTCCGCCCAAGAACTGGAATCGTTATATCAGGCAATTGAACAACATCCGAGTACTCGAGATATGTTTGTCCTTCGAAAACCAAACAAACGAAACCCACAGTTTCGAATTTCGGGAGTGGATCCCGATATTCTTCCGGCGGAGTTATTGGCTACTTTAAACACCCAAAATTCAGACCTCAAAATTGAACCCCAAGACTTTACTCACCGAACTAGTTATAAAGAAAAATCCGGAAATGTCACTCATATTATAGAAGTTAAAGCACCAGTCTACCAGAGAATTCAATCTAAAGAAAAGGTTCATCTTGGATGGACTTCCTGCCCAATAACCGAAAACTTCTATGTTCCCCGTTGTACGAAATGCTGCCAATATGGACACACTAAGGCTAAATGTATATCGAAGTCCGGTTTCTGCACTATATGTGCAGAAAACCATCCAACCACGGAGTGCACAATTACGCGATACCAGGACGGGAAATGTAGAGCATGCCAAAATCGCCGGCTTCATGCTAACCACACATTTGGAGCGAGTGAGTGTGGAACACTGGCGTTCCACATTACTCGCCTCAGAGCTCAAACTGATTATCCGCAATAATTCCTTAATTTGGATTTGATCTTTGAACAGACTAAAATCGAAAATGGAAAGTAAACTTAAATTTTTACAATTAAATTTAGGTAAATCAAAAGCAGCAATATATAATTTAAATCAAATAAATAACGATCTTCAGGCTCAATTTATTTTAATTCAAGAACCTTACGTACTAAATAATAAAATAATTGGTTTTCCTATATTGGATAGTATATACTGTTCACAGACGGATCCCAAATGCGCTATTATCATTAAAGATAAAACATGCTCCACGTTTGCAATCAAATTAGAAAAAGATTTAGTAGCCCTAGAATGTACATTTTCATCATTGTCCATAATTGTTATATGTGTTTATATCTCGCCTAATACTCCAATACTTAACTATCTTATTAGACTAGATCTTTTAATGGCAACCTTAGTCCAGAAAAAAAATTATATTTGGGGGAGACTTCAACGCGAAAAACACTAGCTGGGGGGGGGGAGATTCTAAGGATGATCGGGGGGAACAGTTAGCCAACTTTTTCTCAAAACATAACCTAATCATAATAAATGACCCTCATTCACCACCAACATTTACTACGGGAAATGGGAGGAGTTGGATAGATATTACTGTAACATCATCTAACCTCCATAGTTTAATATATGACTGGAATATTTTAGATTCTGAATCTCTAAGGGATCACCAAATAATATCTTATGCTTTGATAAAACAATTAGGAATCACAAACAAAAGAATAACCCAGAAAGGAGCAGCTCAACTAACCCTATATATTCGTAACGAACCCTGGTTCAAATATATTAGTTCAAATCATTACTCTGCTTTCCAAATAGACTATATTTTAAAGGAATTTTATTGTAAATTCCAACAGTGGATAAAATTATGCGAAAGAAATGTTAAAAATCACAAACAACAGGTGCCGTGGTGGAGTCAGGAACTCCAATTAATGCGAGCAAAAACTAATGCATTAAGACGAAGATTCCAGCGTTCTCGTAATTCATTAATGGAAACATACAATAAGCGAATATATTACGATTACAAAAATCAATATAAAGATCTTATTTTAAAATCCAAAATAGACTCATGGCATAAATATTGTTTTGATACTACTAAAAGATCATTGTTTGGTGTCCCTTATAAATTAGCTTTTGATAAATTAAAAAAACCATCTATTAGCCCACCAATAAGAAGATCAGATAATACAATAACTACCTCATTCGAAGACTCAATTAAATATATTTTAGACACACTCTTTCCACATTTAGACCCCACTATAAAAAAACCCTATATTGATCAAATCCAGGCTTATACTTCCACTCCTCCCATGACCTTACCTGACTCCCCTTTCACATTTCTCGAAATTTCTACTATAATTAATAAGTTACGGAATAAAACTGCTCCAGGCCTTGATGTAATAAATGTTAATAACCTCCGTACTATCTGGACTTCTCATCCTCATTTTCTACTTTCTATATTTAACTCCTGTTTAAATATTGGCTACTTCCCAAGAATATGGAAAGAGGGGAAAATTATATTAATTAACAAAAATGACCGGGACAATAATCTACCGGGTTCTTATAGGCCTATTTGTCTCAATTCAGTTTTGGGAAAGGTATTAGAAAAATTAATTAATAATCGAATTTATTTCTTTCTCAACTCTAAAACTTTATTACACCATTTACAATTCGGTTTTACTCATAATAAATCTTCAACATTAGCATTGTATCAATTAACAACCCATTTGAAACAAATAAAAGAGCACGAAAAATCTGCTATAATGATTTCTTTAGACTTTACTAACGCATTTAATTCCCTTCGCTATCCATTAGTACTTAATTTCTTAAAAAAGCACGAATGCCCGTCCAATTTGTTTAACATCATTCAATCTTTTTTCCAAGATAGAATCATTACATTTGTTACTCCAAATAAACAAAACATTAGTAAATTAACTAATATTGGCTGCCCACAAGGCTCCCCTCTGAGCCCACTAATGTGGAACATATTATTAACTAGCTTACTAGAGATAAAATTTCACTCGCATACTTACATTCAGGCTTTCGCCGATGATGTGGTCGTGGTAGTGGCGGGGAGTTCACGCCGAGAATTAGAAACAAGATCATCAGACACATTAAACATAATAGGTACTTGGGCTTCACAGAACTGTCTAAATTTTAATTATAAAAAATGTCAATACCTGTTAATTACGAAAGGCACCTATCTACAGAATAGACCTCCTATCGTATATTTTCAAACCCATAGATTACCCATAGTTTCCCAAATTAAAGTTCTAGGAATAATATATGATTCACACTTATCCTTCCTTCCCCATCTTCAATATATTAAACACAAAGTCCACACACATAGCCAAAATATATCTCGTATATTCTCAACCAATTGGGGACTTTCTTCACAACAATTAAAAGATATTTATATCCGCAGTATAGAAAGATATATCGTATATGGAGCGCCGGCATGGTGGACACCCACAAAGAATTCCCATCTGTTAAGAACTTTAATTTCAATTCAACGAATTCCTTTACTAAAAATAGCGAAAGCATTCTGTACAGTTTCCAATATTAGTCTTCCGGTGTTATGTAATTGCATACCAATAGAGATAATATTAGATATAGAAAATTTTATGTTCCGATTATTCCAACTACATCATATCTCTAAATTTGAAAATGTTACAATTGAACCAAAATATGTATCTTATCCTATAGATCCTTGGCTAACCCACCCAGCACTTAAATTTCAAATTAATTTCCAAAAATATAACAAAGAACTCTTATCTTCATTGAAAAATACGTTGTCACTCTATACAGACGGCTCAGTCTATTTAGATCATGTAGGAGCAGCTTATGTCATCTTAAAACAGGATGGAGGAATATTAAAGGTAGGTAAACATAATTTGGCCTCTCATAATACTATCTTTGATGCGGAAGCTATAGCAATCTTTAAAGGACTAGAATACTCTCTTACAATTAACGAACATTACCATTTAATAGTCATAACAGATAGTTTATCAGTATTACAAGCATTAGCAAATGCTACAAACCGAAACTCATTAATTAACAACATTAAGAGCTTAATTCAAAAAATTATAGAAAAACGTGCTATTTCCTTCTACCACGTGAAGAGTCACTCTGGGGTCATAGGTAATGAATTAGCTGACCAGTTTGCTAATTCGGCACGTAGATATGGTGTTTTTCACCCTCTTCCCAGATCAAAACAAAATGTAAAACATAACATTATAAAATTGGCAAGAAAAAAATGGGACCAAATTTGGCAAGAAAGGGGGCAAACCTCAGAATTAATAAAATGGATTCCGTCCATAACTAATATCCCTTCTTGCTTCCCTCCTTCGTATCATTTAACTCAACTCCTAACTGCACACGGAAGATTCCCTTTTTATTTCCATCGATTTAATATTCAAGACCACACGATATGCCCTTGTGGAGAATCTTGTTTAAATATAGATCATTATCTGAAAGAATGTCAATTAACACAGCGATACAGAAAAGAATTAGAAACTCAAAACCTAACAACAAATAAACGCTTAGCTATGTTAAATTCAATAACAAAAGTTAAA